TATCTTCGTTAGATAAGACAGTACCATCAAAACCTAGGGGCTTGCCTGCACTTTGTTTCAAACCTTGTAAGGTTTTTATTTTTGATTTAATATTGAGTCTTTTTTCCTTCTTTTTTCTTTTCTTTTTTTTTATTTACTTGAAAGCGGACCAGAACAAAAAATAAATTTTCTAACTCTATTGTTTATGAGTTTTCTATGTAATCTCGTGCAGAGATTTGATCCATGTCTCAAGAATAATGCAATTATGAATAGCATTCGTTTTCCAAATGATTCGCACCGTTCCAGTCACTTGGAAAATAGTATATTTTAAATCACATGATCAAGTATTATCCAGGTAATCATTTGGAGTATAAATGGTACATACCGATCTTTCCAAATTTAGTTAATAAATTCTCGGCGCAACTTCCGAAATAGTATATAACTTTCAAGACTGCAGCCTTTTTCACTACCCACTGCATTTAATGAACAAAAATGTCTTTGGAAAGTTCGTTAAAAATTTTGCAAGAAATTTCTAATGATTTAGAAAGGTTACTTGAAGTTGACGAAGGAAATGATGTCATTATAAATGCCGGTGAAAAAGAAAACGTTAAAGAATTTCATGCACTTTCAAATATTTTACGTATCAGGTCGCAATATCTTCGCAATGAACTTACTAAAGTAAATGTTGAGAAAAGTGATGGTAAATTCATTTTAAAAGTACCAAATATCTCTCCACACATTTTTCAAATCATCTTAAGGTACAGTAATTGAAGTGAATAAATAATATATATATGTACAGCAATTACGTCAATATTATAAACATAAATTTTTTCTTTTTTAAATTTCAGATTTATTTATTGTGGAAAAATTGATTTGACGAAATTGGAAGGACCAGAATTATTAAATCTGTTATTAGTAGCAAATACTCTTAACCTTCAAACTTTAGTATCCATAATTGAAGAATGTTTAATTAATGATCATCATGAGTTTTTACAACAAAATCCTATAGGAACACTTGAAATAATTTATCAAAACGAGAACTTTGCAACATTATGGAATTTTTATCTTGAAAAAATCTGTGAAGAACCCGAAACGTTTTTTGATTATGATAAATTTATCGACATAAAAGCACCTTTATTGGAATTACTTTTGAAACGTGATGATCTACGTTTAGAGGAAATTGATATTTGGGATAGTTTAATTAAGTGGGGCCATGCTCAGAATCCTTCTATTCCTAAAGATGTCAAAAAATGGAGTAAAGAAGAAACTATTATCATGGAAAGAACTCTTCATAGATGTATCCCTTTAGTTAGATTTCATTATATATCTTCAGATGATTTTCTTGAAAAAGTACTTCCTTTTAGAGATTTACTACCAAGAGAAATGTATGATACCACCTTAGCATTTTATTTGTCAACAAAAAAGAAATTAAATACCGAGGTACAACCACCGAGACAGTCAAAAAATGTTTATGATTCAGTCTTAGTAAAATCACAACATTTTGCTATATTTTCAAGTTGGATAGATAAGAAAAACAAATTACATTATAATAATAAGATTAAGAACTTGCCTTATCATTTTAATTTTATTTATCGTGCTAGTAAGGATGGTATGACATCGGCAGCGTTTCATCAAAAATGTGATAATAAGGGTGCTACTATAGTTATAGTAAAAATTAAAGGAACGGAACTAATTATCGGAGGATATAACCCGCTTGAATGGGATTCAAGCAATAGTTGGAAAAAGGTTGCGAATAGTTTTATATTTTCATTTAAAAATGGAACGGAACTTCAAACTGAGAGTGTAGTTATTCAAGTTATGGACCTTTGTTCGGTAATGAAATAATATTTGATGGTAGTAATTGGACAAGCAATCAACATGCTTATTCCAAAGTTGAAGATATACCTGCAAAATTTAGTGTGGACGATTACGAAGTATTTCAAGTTATTAAAAAATAGCAGCTTATATATAAATAATATTAAACTTCTACTTCTACATACATATATATTTGACATATTTTAATATAAGAAAATTATCTTGTTTTAAAATTTAATTTATATTAACTGCTAAAAATCCAGATAGTTATTTTTAAATAGGCTACTTTGTCGGCTTTCTGGTTGGGTGATTCAAATGAAAATTTAATTTCTTGACAAGTACAATTAGATCCATGAATAACCACAATTTGTTATTTGTAGTATTATAAATAAACATTATAAATCTATTATTTTTAAATATAAAATAAAACATTTCATTTATGATATGGGAACGTTAACAGTAAAAACAATTCGTGATATAATAAATCATATGACCGTTCTCCATAATCCTCTCCTCTGAGAGTTTGATTTGAATTACATCGGGAAATTTTTCAGAAGGGTATATGCCGATGAAAATCTCACGTTTTATTGAAGTGATAATATAATTATTTGACCTAAACGATAGTCATCATTTATTTAAATTAAACGATAGTCATAATTATTAAACCTAAAAGACAAATATCGAAAAGGATAATAATCGAAAAAAAATCATTGTATTTATCAATGTTACATAATTGATCAGTGTTGGCAAATTGCAATGTAATTTTCTATTTTTTAAATGGCATTTGTCATTTCTTATAGTAAAATCAAATGTCATTTCAATATCATTTGACAACACTGTATAGATAGACAATTATAGCATTTTAATAATAAACAAACGAAAAAAATGAATAAAAAAACGTTCGTTACTACTACTACTAACTGAAGCATAAAAGTCAATATGATGTTCAGATTATATAATGATAATGTTCAAATTATTATGAGGGAATATCCAAAGATCGAAATAATGTATATTCATAATACGATTCAAATCGTTCCTTCGCTCTTTTTTCATTTCTGGGATACTTCTCGTATTACCGATATCAAGTCATTTAATTCGATAGATCAATTATTTAATAGAGAATTTTAAAATATAAACTTAAAATTATAATTGATAAATTAAGATAATTTTTGATAATTTCAACTTTAAAAAGCTCACTTAAATCTTTGATAACGTCTTTCTAAAGGTTATTTCGCATTCTGTTTCAGGATAATCAGGATTTAAGATGATGTCACAAACAGATGCTGTGTATACATAAATATCGTTAAATAATGATTCGTCGTCGTCATGAGATAAGGTGGGAAATGCTAATTCTGCGATATTTTCTATCGCATTTTCATTATCGTCATATAATTTATTGTAGCTATAGTTGCGGGGCAAAACCTTAAACCTATTTTGGCAAAAGTCGAAACTTTCAGAAATTATTTCGACAGTTTCGATGGTTTCGATGGTTTTGATAATTACGATGGGTTTCGATGGGCTTCGATCGGTCTCGAAAGTTCTGACAGTTTCGATAACAACTTTGCGAATTTGAAGGTTTAACAGGTAGGTTTATTGTATCTCATGTAGAATATAAAACGATTTTTTTGTTTGCTAATTATTTTAAATTAGAACCAAGTTTCCAAAATACATTATTATCGAGCAGGTTTTAAATTTGGAAGCACTGGTAGAATTAGAAAAAATTACCTTATGAAGAAGATGATGACATCATCTTCTTCATAAGGTAATTTTTTTCTAATTCTTCAACAAGTACCAGTGTAGAGGTTGGAACCGGGTTATTTTTATATCCGGATTTATTTAATTTTAAAAATTGGATCCAGATTTAATCCGAATATCGAATCCGGTTCCAACCTCTAGATGATGATTTCAAATGAAAGTTTAATGGATGATGAAGAAGATAAGAATACTGTCATAAGTTTAAATGAGATAAATGATGTAACTGGACTTAATTATCAATATGTAAAATTTTTTGATTTTTTTTTTTTATCCTTTATAAATATATAAATATATGATATTATAAAGAAAATGATCTTTGCTATATACGATTTGCTCATCTCGTTAAACAAAAATAATAAATTTTTAAACTCAAAAATTGTATTTTAATATCAGATCAAAACTTTCGCAAGTTTGCCTTTGTTAAAAATATTTGACGGAAGCATTCTTTGACTTTTTTTGTTCTTTTCCACTCTGAAATGTGTTGAATCTAGTTAATATCGATTATTAAAAATTTAAAATTTGTAATTTATGAAATTTTTAAATTTGTTTCCCAATTTAGAAATAACCTGAAGAAAAACGAGATAGATACTAACTTCCTTTTTTCACAACTTATTACAAAAAATAATTTCTTTAAGGTTTATTTCCAAAAAAATTTAACAAATAAAATAATTAGATTTTGTATATGTGTCTTAAAATAATAGAAAATTACGTAAGACACTATTGTAAAAGACAACATTCTTAAACAAACAATCTATAATAATTTTATCGAACTTCGACAATTTTGTACGGAATATCTACCCGAGAAAGTATTTTTACAAGAATAATAAGATAATTTGCTTTGATATTTGTAGCGTATTAAATAATAAAAGGTAAGTGTACTACTACGAACCGAAATTTTGTTTGAGATAAATAATCATATAATTTTATTCTTCGTGATTGACTAAATATTTATTTGCAGTCGTTTGTCAGTATCCTTTTACATTAATGATAACAGATGCATTTTGTTTTCTATCATATATTAAGTAGTAAACCGATAAAGGATATGTGTATGAAGTATATGAAGATTTTAAAATATTCCGTGTTCATATGAATATTTTGTGCAACCTTCTCCATATTTGCGACAAGTTTTGACCTCAAAGTAATGAGATTCATTTTAAACTGCAAAATATTTCAATTGAAGTCTTTTAGATTAGTTATAGTAAGCAATTCTCAATTTTAATTTTTTAATATTCAATACAATTTTCTCATAAAATACATTTTACGAGAAAGACTAGATGCCGACAAACTATTTCTTCAAATAGTTGATTAGTTGCAAATGTATTAATTGGAAATAAAATCCAAATTAGTGGAGCAACTTGTTATCCTTTTTCACCAAGTAAACTTTCAATCTACTAATTTTCTCGAACTTTGACGACTTACGAATGATGGAAATTGAAGTTTGAGAATATGTATTAAGATGGGTCTAGCGCAAAACTTAACGCTTCAATACGATAGTTTTCATCTCGCAACATTGTATACCTTTGATCGGATTTTTTAGTTTCTTTCAAAGAAATTTTCAAAGAAATTTTATGAGAAGTTCGTCCATAAAAAGCTTTTACATCATCAACTTTATGAAAATTTATTAGAATACCACCGAAATGTAGCTTAATACCTCCTTTCTTTGTGTTATTATTCTCTTTCTCTTTTGGTATCTTCTGGGATCCGCAAAGTCAAATAAGTTATAATTATTCCTCCTAGAGTTGGAAATTTAGGCTTAAAGCACTGTATATTGATTCAAAATTTATTAATGTAATATTGCTTCCTTAATTTCAACATGGATAGATAGATATTAAAAATTTTAGATATATATTCAGCATATATATTTGAACTACTATTAAAAGGGGTTTACACTAATCATTTCACAAATTATGCGAATAAAAGCCTATATTGTTGTTACCTTCATTAACAAAAGAAATATTGTGGATGGGTAAACCCATGGATAGTTTGACGGATTATGCATTAAGTTATAATAAAAGAACGGACCATGATTTTATTACTCTGATCTAACAATATATTCATCAAATGTATTAACAGATTATAATGAAATGAAATATTTTAATATTTTGTCGAAAATCCGATTATGAAAAGAAATGATGATGTAATTATAAAGCATTAAATTAGCAAATATTTATTGTGTTATTGAATATTAATATTATTATTTTTCAGTTCGTGCTCACAAGTATACTTAATGCAACGTTTTCCGTATTTATGAATAAAGAAATAACAAGGGATACAGGGGTTAAATTGCAACTTTCAGGGCCATAAACTTTAGAAACTTCAATTACTAAGAAAATTATTGGAAGTTCGTTTGAAAAGAAAGCAAAGAATCATTATTTTGAAAATGGCAATAATATTTTTTTTTAAAAAAAGAGAGAAATTCCATATAACATACATACCATGCATAGAAAGGGGAACCGAAAAATTCTAGAAAGTTATAATTCTAGGTTGGCAGATATTCTAGCGAAAATGTTACTCTTTAAAGAAATGTCGAATTTATAATTCATTTAAGAAATAGGAAAGACAATATTTTATTATATAAAAAAAAAAAAGTTTTAAAAAGAAAACTATTTATACCTTGAAAAGCTATAACAATTCTTTATCTAAATACAAAACGAATGTAAATTCTATATATCGATATAAAAGTTATACCACGGTTATGCAAATTTAATATATTGGATTTCAAATGTCATTAAATGGCCGGAAAACCCGATTTGACAGTTTGGTCGACAGACTCAATCCTTTCTTTTTTCCCTGTTTGAATCCTTTTTGCGAAATGTAAAATTTCAGCCATTTTTACGAAAATAACGTTACAAATGGCAAAGTATCTGCGAAGAATCAACAAAAATGTCAAAAATATTAAAAATGAATATCAAATGTAATATTTATATTACATTTCTTTCCTATATTCGTTCGATCATATATACAGTGCGCGAAAAAAGTTTTCGGAATCACATCTTAATTTATTATACTCTGACTAATTAAATTAATAAATATTTCGGGTTCAATTCCCTCCTACTCTTTTTGAATTATATCAAGAAAGACATCTATATAGATTGATTTTTTTTACCAACAATATATTAACCTTTTTCTCTATATGCCTCTTAAATTGCCTATAAATTTTCAATTGGATTGAGGTCCGGACTTTTGATGGTCAATCCAACAACCTCGGAAACCATTCTTCAGTATTAGATTTATAGTTTTCATATGAACGGTATATAAGTTTATATTTACAATTCCAAACCTGCCATTCTTATATAAAAATATAAGCTGCGTGACCATATAAAATTTTGTTGCTAATCATATACTGCAATACTGCGCGAATTATTAAAAGTTTTCTATACTGAATTTTTATTCCGAAAACATTTTTTCGCGTACTGTATTTATTAGATTATTTGTAATATTATTTTTATTATATTTGTTATCTCCGCTATGTTCATTAGGTTCATCTTATAAAGTTAAAAATTTGGAACTTTTTGTGGTTGACGAGTCGAGAGAAAAGATTTCTGAAATCCTATAATTGGATAAAGATTCTACTTTACCATTTCGAACCTTTATCGTGTCCCATATTGACTTTGACTATGATAATTAACTACATAAGAAAATTGTGCAACAAATTTGTTGTTTACGTACGGCCTTAGTTAGGTTAAGAAATTTGCTTAAATTCCAGTTCTCGTCACTAGCGACGCAGCAATTTCTAGGTGTTATTCTGAAAAAGTTGACATGATCAAACTCAATAATCTCAATCGAGAACTAAGTCAAAAATTGACGAAATCATCGACTTATCAAGATTAAGTTATTGTATATAATAAGGAAAAGAGGAAATACCAAATCCGGATACCTTACCTGTGGATATGAATACTCGTTTGTTTTCCAAACACACGTGAATGTTTGTTTATAAAAGATGCTCATTTACAAATAGAAATAGATTGACGGGGCTTTGAGGACTTTAATGTCAAATTCTAGGAGCAGTGCTTTCGACAATCAAACTATTATAGGTGCTACCTTTTTTTAATTGCATTCCAGGAGACATCATTCAATATTGATATATATAATACATTTACTTTGAATGATAAAAATATAAAAAATTTCCTATTATTTGTAGTTTCCATATTGGTCCTTTGAGATTGTAGTAATTAAAATTATTTGGTTTGTAAGTATATAACATCGAGTTTCGTCAAAAATGAATTTTTTAAAAATATTAAGTGTTTAGAATTTAAGTTAAAGCGATTATGAGATAAAGACTAATTAAGATATGCAAAATAATTAACATTAACGTTACGTTTCGCATTGCTCGATTCATTTATTTGACAATCAAAACATAATTCTAATAATATTCTTTAAAATTATTTGTAAATAATTGACCGAGGATTAATTTATCAAAAAATTATGTTTATCATGTTTAATGTAAGTAAGTATCAAGTATAGCTTTTATAAATTTTTTATTGATTTTAAACATCAATATACTAGACATTTTTTTCAGAGATAAAATATGTAAAGTGAGGAATGAATATTGTAAGGAAATTTCTTATATGAAAAGTAAAGAAAAGAAAGTTTAAACCCAGTTATATCTTCTAATCTACAATTTCGTGACGTGATATATTAAACTTCTAATAATTTAATGATTTATAATTCATATAATTTAATTTTCAATAGCCATTTTATTTAAGAATAAAGAAAGCCTTTAATTTTAAAGAAAATATTTTAATTGTCTAAATACTGCAAGTTTTAATGATCACAATTTCGTCATCGATACTCCAATTTAACAATCAGAATATTGAGTCAATAAAAAAAAAATTGAACAAGTTATCCGATAGTTTTTGATACTTTGTTTTTAAAGATACAGGTAGGATAATATATAAGGAATCGGGTAAATTTGGTAAGCAAGTTATTGAAGTATTAGAGCAATCAAGTTTAGTTAAGGAGTTGGGCAAAATTGGTAGGATATTTATTGGAGTAGTAGAACATGCAAGTTCCATTAAGGAGTTGGGCAAGGATGGAAGGATAGATATCTGAGTATCAGAGCAATTAAGTTTAGTTAAGGAGTTGGGCAAAGTTGGTAATGTCGTTATTGGAGTATTATCACAATAGAGTTCCGTTAAGGAATTAGGTAAAGTTGGTAGGATAGTTATTTGAGTATTAAAGCAATCAAGTTTAGTTAAGAAGGTGGGTAAAGTTGGTAAGCTATTTATTTTAGTATTATAACAGTTGAGTACTTTTAGGGAGTTGGGTAAAGTTGGTAGGATAGTTGTCTTAGTATAATTACAGTGTAGTACTTTTAATTTCCGATATCTTTGCAATCCTCCTAAGGCGTTTAATATGACATCCTTATTAAATACTGTAATCGTTAAAATTTCATCATCATAAACAATATCAGATACTCCAACATTTGATTCTAATTCTTCTACATTATTCTGACCAGCCAAATGATGAATAATTTCGGGATTATTTTTATTTGATTCATAACTATTCGTTTGATCATTTAACTGATAAAAGTTTTGACTAATTCGAGATAATTTTCCATCTGATGAAGTATTAATATTAGAAGAATAATGAAGAAATAATTCACTTTCTTGCATTTTTGTTTTTGTAATAATTAAATTTAATTTATCAACAACTTTATTTATAACTGGACGCTTATCTGGCTCATTATCCCAACATTCTAAGATAGTATATAAATTTTATGGTTAAAAAATTACTTAGAAAAATATTTACGTTATAAATTTAATTAAATTTATGACAATAATATTTACCGGTATAAATATTAACATAATCTTTAGGTGTGCCGGGAATGATCTTTTCTCTAAGTCCTTCTAAAATGTCGATAGCTAAACTTACGTCGCATACTTCATCCTTAAAAGGAGGATATCCGCTTGATATCTCCCATAAAACTACACCAACACTGTATACGTCGCTCTTTTCATTCAGTTTAAATTGTGATGCTTTGTCATTTCTTCGTCTGTTAAAATATTTTGGGTCAACATAAGGAATTAATACAAAAGAATTTGATTGATTGGTTGCTGCTTCAGTTCGTTTCGATAATCCAAAGTTGGCTAGTTTAATAACTCCTTGATGAATTAGTATATTGCCGGAATGCTATTAAATGTATATATATATAAAAAAAAAAGTTAATTATTAAACAACACATTGAGAAAAAAATATATTTTATGAAAGATTACCAAATCTCGATGCACAATTCCTTCGTCATGTAAATATGATACAGCACGAGCCATCTGGAATGCCAAGTTGTATTTATCTCCCCAAGTAAGCTTATCAAAATTACCCTTCAAATAGTTTTTAAGTGTATCGCCATCAGCATATTCTTGTTCTCTAATTTTATATTTTAAATCACTAATTATTTCTTGATTGGTTCTGATTCGTTGTTTAATAAAATCTTTTTGTAAATTAATAATTTCTTGCTTGGCTTTAGGATCCTTTTCTTGCGCTTTAATCTTTTCTTCAAAATATTTAGATTGAGCGCTTACTTTTGATAATTCTTCTCTTGTTATTGTTAAATCAAGGTTTAAGTTTTGAATTTCTTGCTTTCGGTTATCTAATTCTGCTAATATTTCAGTAAGTTTTTGTCCTGCTAATAATTCTTTTAAATTATCTAAATCCTTACTACCGATTTCATTCAATAAAAAGGACAGCAGCAATTGATTTTCATCGTCGGCTTTCTTTTTGCTTTGTTCCAAGTTCTTAATCCTTTTATTCAAGTCTTTCAAATCTTTTTCTAAGTTATGTTTTAAAACCATTTTTACGATTTTTTTTTTTTTTTTTTTTTTTGAATTTTAACGGTATATAAATTAATTTCAGCCTTCTAATATCATTTCCTTTTTAATTAAGCAAACAAAGACCTTTTCTATATTAGGTTAATGTTGAATATCTTATTTTAATCTTCTGTCCATGACGGCGTTCCATGTTAAATCAAATATTTTAAATTATCCGAGTTTTAGTAGTATT